CTGCTATACTGGGAGCTTTGGTCGAAGCGTCAATGACCGCCTTTCCAATCATTCGTTCATCGTCCGTTCCACTGGTTGGCCGGTCAGTTTTTGGTGACATATTCGAAGCCTGAACAAAGAATGTAAAAACTTCACAACTCCTGAAACGTTGCATTATTTGAAGGCGTCGTCCACGCTAATCACATGGGCGGAGTCGGTCCTACAACTGAAGGCTGTTCACCACACCTGTGGTGGTGCACATCTTTTCTTTACCACCTGAAGAAGTAAGGATGCACAACTGAGGAAGTACAGTGGCGGTCCTAACTCCGCCCATACGGTGAGCGTGGGACGTGCCTTCAGAGATAAAGTTCCGTGAGCTGGAAAAATTGCTTACGTCAGCCGTGGTCGGTTCAGCCTCCTCAGGTTTTTCCGCTTCGGATACCGTTGACGGCTGCTCTTCAGGAGTGTGCTTGACACTGGCTTCTGTTTCCGATCGAGGACGACTGGATGACGGAGAGAATTCCTTTGATTCGGAGTCTCTTTGGCTAAACCGTGAAGACCTCGACGACTGGCTGCTCTTCCTCAGTACCGTGTAGGGCGGACTGCCGTGCCGATCGGGACTGCCAAGCAGGGAGCCTGAAAATAACTGGTCTTAACGTCATTTAATCGGCTTTACGAGGGTTAACAACACTGCGGCTCTTGGGAAGGAGTGGGGATGGCCAAGTGAAAGATATAAATTGGAACTCTAAGGGATAATGTGAAGGAAGGACAAGAAGGGAGAGCAGACTCTTGTATCCCATTCCAAAATCGCTGCGATATGTACTTTTGAAGGGGATAAAACTACAACCTTGACCGAATTTTGAAAAAAAAAACGTTGTGAAAATTTCCAAGGCAAGTAGTGAGGTACAAAAGGCAAATAATGGTCAACAACTGATACGCGCATTGAAGCTGAACATTTTTTTTACCTGAAAGCACAGTTCGCGCAGGTTGTTTGGGTGGAGACACTTGCCTGTCCTGTCATTCCTACTCCTCTCCTACTTCCCCCTCCCGACCTAGACGCAGGAGTGCACCAATGGGCAAGTCACAAATAATTGACCATCTCCGCCCCTACGATCAGCGCGAACTGTGCTTTCAGTCGTGAGATGCCACTTACCTGATGACGATGCGGCGGGAGACGGTTCGGGTGTACGTGTCGGAATGTGTTGGTAGGATGTGGACGCTCGACAATGCTCAGGAGTAGAATGCTTCGATGAGGGGTGGCGCGCTGTTTCCAGTCGGGAGTCGCGTTGCTTACAGTAAGCTCGAGGATGGCATCTCGGTAGGCTTCCTAAAAATAGAAAGCTTTTCACTGCGAAACTAAAAGATTTCGTCATACAGACAGAAATAAAAAGAGAGACAAAAACTCGAGCATACACAGTCTATATCTTGGAGATGGACAGAGCATCGTTGCCTCTTCCACTAGAACCTGGTGTAGGACTCGTTAAGTAAGGGATAATCCCATTTGGGAAAACCACCCACCTGTTTCGTGCGGCAAAGGCATGGTCATGAGGGTCGCAAAAATGTTATATCTCACAAAAATGCAGTCGCCAGCGTGTTCGAAAGAAGACAGCAGCCACACTCTCTCAATCCGCAAGATAAAAGGATAAAGGATAAAGTCTTCGCCGTTAATCAATCCCTTTGTGGGATGCGGCACGCATTCTACTTCCATTCAGAATCGTAGTGGCTTATTGAATGCGATGTGGCCTATACAATGACTTGCGGGGGCCAGCCGATGTACAAGTCAGTGTTTTATCCTCCCAGACGAATCTGGTACCAATTTACCGTCCCGGAGGGTAGAAGGCTTGGTTGGCCTGGGCGGGTGTCGACCTGGGATTCGAACCCAGGACCGCGCGAGTGGTAAGCGCGCCACTTGTCACTACCACCGCATGCCGCCTCATTCGCAAGATATGTGGTGTAAATTATAAATAAGGGTGTTTATGCAATTTTTTTTATCTTTCATTTTTGCTGAATGTTTAGTTCTGAATTACGGTATCAAGGGAATGTAGCGCATGGGAGTGCCAATATAATAAATAAATAAATATATAAAGTTGCGGCTGCGCAGGGATCCTTTGGGGGGATGAAACAAAAGACTAGCGACCGTTGGGGCTGAAGCAAAGCGACGAAAGCGATTACAAGAGTTCAAAAGTATTTGGCAGAAATTTTTCAAATCTGATGAAAAATTTTGATGTCCTGGATGAAAACAACATTTTGAAGATGATGGGAAGGGAAGAAGCACAATATTTTGAGCCTAGGACATCTAGGAGCGTAGCTGTTATCCCAGGATGAAATGAGGAGGACGACGTGCAAGGTGTGTAAAATCGATTCAAGGGTGAAGCACTGCTTATAATCAACTTATCCATAGGCCGATTTGCTTTTTTCTTCTGCATAATACCTTCAAATCCTTCCAAAACTTTAGGACAGCTTTTAGAAGATCTAGTATGAATAACTTTGTTTTAACAGTGTACTTCTGTCGCGAAAAGTTAGAAGACCAGATGCTCGAATTATGAACAAAGGTCAACCTCCAAGCAAGGGCTCGATCACGTTATACCCTTATCTCAACGCTCGGCGCGGCATCGTTCGAGTCTCGCTCAGAGACTGACTTTTGCACGTAACTCAGCATCGTTGTGATAAACTAAGGCAGGTATTAAAGGCATTTGGCACGATGATTTGGTGTCGCCCAAAATGCTAGTAGGGCGCTATATAGTGGGGAAATGGCGAAAGAACGGAGTGAAACGGTCAAAATCCTGCGAAAAAAGAGCCTCCGTTCTCACTGTGTTAGTAATCAATTTTGGACGAGTTTCCCGTAGGCATCTTGCCAATAACCGCTACCGAAGGTACGGCTGCATATGTGTACTCATATATCCATGCAGCATCACGGCCGCTTCATACCAATCCCTTCGCTTCATAATTTGCTTAGCAAATGAATCGATTAGAGCGTCAGGAACGGTCGTCCATTTGTGGGCGGGCGGGCGTGGCGGGCGTTTGGGTCGGAATGTTGTGGCTTGATAGGGCCCTTATAAGGGCACCTCCTTGGAAAAGGCTATGCAGCGCCTGCTCAGGGTCGCGGAATTCCGTCCTGCCAGGCGTATCCTACTCGTTTTGGAGGATTTATCGTGCCAACTGCCTTTAATACAGTAGCTCAGTTCGTGCGAGAATGGCCATTCTTTGGAAGACGTCCGTAAGAAAACTTCCTTTAAACCATCAGTAAATCGGCTCTCAAAACGATGAAGGAATGTGGATAAAGGGCGAATACATGGCGCATCTCGGTGAACTTCTAATGGCGGAAATTCAAATTAGAAATCTCCTGAGGACTCTTAAAAGCCAATTATCCTGGCTCACCTTGATTAAATTGAGCGCAAATTCCTCCAACATAGACGGATCGAGCGGTTTTTCCTCGCTGGTTTGCGGTTCAGGCTGTTCCTCAGCGATGACCTCAGCCTTTTCGACCTCATCCTTTTCGACATGTTGCGATGTCTCCATAGGTGACTGCATCACGGCGATCTCTGATGATTCTGATGGCGGCTCAGTGTCGTCCGTGTCACGCTGGGGTGAATCCCTTCGTGAAAGGTAAGGACTTCGGTAGAACTTCGGGAAAACCCTGAAATAAGTCCAGTAACGATATTGCTCCACTTAAAATGGATTTTTTGAGTTCACGAATCAGGAATTCTAGAACCCAGCTTGGCAGAGAAGAAACTCACTTTGGCGACAATCGATTGATAACCGGCGAGCTAACCTCGCTATCGCGATGAAATCGCTCCTTCCATACTCGCGCGTCGGCGGCCGTAATATAGGTGACGCTGAAACAATCGCATTGGTAGTAAGTAAACAGCAGATAAAATAAATGGGATATTTCCCAGGTTATGTGA